CTCTGGTTGCAGCAGGATCAGCCTGGAAAGCTGAGCCCTGCTGGAAATGTAGGAGCAAATGCCTGGGGGAAGCAGGGGAAATTGCACACAGATGAGGAAGTGCCTGGAAAAGGAAAGGTTGTGGGATGCTCCTGCCATGTAGCTTGGAGGGATTTGGGTCTGGGGGGCAGTTTTCTGCAGAACCTTCTTGCAAACTTGTTTTTTCCTTCAGAGGCAAAGCAGAGCCTGGCTCTTTGGCAGACGTGAGGACATCTGTGAGGATATTTGTTTTTTATCCGCAGTTCCTCCCAGTATTGAGCTGGGCCCTGCCCTCGTCACCGCCACAGAGGGAACAGCTGTCACCCTGCAGTGCAATGCCACCGGCGTGCCACCCCCTACTGTCACCTGGGCAAAGGTAGTCGCCTGCCCCAGGTGGGACACGGGCTGGAAGGGGCAGATTGCTGCCTCGTGGGAGCTGCCTCACATGTGCGGTGGGATGTAGCCAGGCTGTTGGGGAGGTGACACTCCGGGAGCCTCCTGGGGACCGGGAGCAGTGAGGCTCATCTGACGTGACCCGAGCAAGGCTCTGGTGCTTGGGAAGCTCAGTTCGCAGGAGGATTTTTGTTTGCTTCCTGCCTCCCGTTCTCCCCGCAGGGCACAGAGCCCATCTCGCAGAGCCACCGCTACTTCCTCGGCAGCAACGGGACCCTCTTGATCCCCTCGACCTCCGCCAACGATGCTGGGACCTACTTCTGCACGGCTGCCAGTGCAGCAGGCTCGTCCAGCCGGGAGCTGCAGCTCTCCTTCAGCAGTGAGTGTTGCTGGGGCCAGGGCTTGGATGGACTTAGCAGGCTGGGCTTGCAGGATGGGGAAGGCCATGGAAAGGCCATGCTCTTGCTCGCAGCTTGTGGCACCATTTGCACGTTGCGTCTCTGTCCCACTGTCTAGCAAAACCCAGGATCAGTGTGAACGGATCGCGCGAGTCATCAGGCCCCATGATCATCCGGACTCTTGCTGGGTGGGAAACCGTCCTGCCCTGTGAAGTTCATGGCTACCCCACTCCTTTGGTGGCATGGACCCAGGAGTCCCGGCCAGTGCCTCTCGGCACCGCAAGGTAAGGAGAGCTGCTGCCTTGTGGGCTGTGGCTTCTTGGCCTGTGTATGGTCCTGCAGGGTGCCAGGCTTGTGAAACACAGGGACAGCAGGGACGTGCCAACAGGAGAACTTCCCTGTGCCCTGCAGTGCAGCAGGGCCAAGAACTGACCTGCAGCAGGGTGAGGGTTAGATAGTCCTCCGCTTGATCTCAGCCTTGTGTCCACGGGAGGTGCCATGTTCTCCTGCACAGAGCTCATCTCCATCAGCTACCCGTGAGGCAGACTATCTGTCTCTGCATCTTCCATATGCTTTCCAGTTAGCAGTTGCTCCTGGCTGGGAAAGCTGCTTTCCAAACATTTCCTTGCTCCCACCTGACCTCACACTGGGTCCTGCTCCCAGTTCTGCAGCTGGCTTGAATTTGTCCCCTGGACCAAAGCAAAGCGCTGGCTTTTAGCTCTGTGGCTGGAGCCCCGCTCTGTGAAGTCTCACCTCCAGCAGACAGCTATTTGCTGACATTTGCTGTGGAGAATCTTCCCTTCCGCACGTTGCTTCTCCCTGTGGGGACGGGGCGAGGCAGTGTGTGCATAGGAGAAGATGCTAAAGGCTGCAGATGTGCTGGGAACAGGCTGCCTGCGAGGTGGAGAGGGTTGGGTGGTCGAGAAGGAAACTTCTGACCCAAGTCTTGTGCATCCCATCCTCCTGGGAGCTGCCAGGAGCAAGCAGCAAGCTAGTTGTACAAGGATGGCTCGGGGCAGGTGTCTAGTAAGTGCTGCCTTCATGTTTGATCCCTTTTCAGTTGGGCTGCTGAGGCACATCCCACTTCTGTGGGCAGCGTCCAGGCTGCAGCAGAGCGAGGGCTTCAGGGAAGGGCTCCTAGGAGCGCAATGGAGATGCCTTGCCCCTGTAAGGCCAAGGTTCCTTTCACTGCTTGGGGTTTGTGTGTGGAGGGTCTCTTGAAACCTTCTCCTGGACTATAAGGATTGCTTTGCTCCGGTGTTCGGTAGCACTGGGTCTTTCTCAGCTTTTGCCAGATTCACTTGTTGATGGTTTTGACACTGATGCCAGCAACGGACAATCATTTAAAGCCACTTGATGTGAGAAGACAACCTTGAGAGTGGTTGAACATGCGCTTATTAAGTGTGTCTTTCTCTGTGACCAAAGAGATGGAGTTCAACCTTTGGAGATGGGACCCGTTTTGTTAATATGCCAGCACCTTGCTGGAGAGGCAGCGCATCATGGTACCTGATCATGGATACCTGATCTTGGTGATCATCTCTTATTTCTGCACATAGAAGTTGCTGTGGCTTGAGGAAGCGTGAAAGCATCTTGTCTTCCCCCTCCTTTTTGAGGGACTCTATTGCCTTGTTGTTCTTGTTTATCCAATTTCCTGCCCCGCTCCCAGTGCCTTTGTGCTCCTTTCCCAGCTCCGCTAAGTTCAGCCTCCTGTCTTCATCTGCCTGTGTGATTTATGGGAGAGCGCAGTTGAGGAATCTGTGGACGTGGGCTGAGATGAGGTTATGTCTGTAGAGCCCAGATGATGCTGGGTCAGCACCAGTGGCGAGAGCACGGTCAGCTCCAGCTGCAGGGGCTGAGTTCCCCCTTTGGGAATGATCTCCCACACCATGGTGGGGGCTCTCTCCTGCTGCTGCCTTGTGCTATGCTCATGCAGAGATTGAGCAAAGGGATTTTGCAACCCTGTGCAGCTCAGCAGGCCTCCTATTAGAGAAGGCATGTGGGCAATCTTGCTACCAAGCAGCGTATCATTTTCCCATGGTTGTTAGTGCGAATGGTGGTGTTTGAATGTGACAAACTACACTCAGACTTATCCTCTCCCGTCCAGGAGAATGGAATTTTAGAGCCGTAGCTGAAGAAGACATGGCAGTCCTTCTGCAGCAAGGTGAAAGGCCAGTTGTCTGTGCCTTCTCCATGTAGGTATAGCATCCTTCCTTCGGGATCGCTCCTCCTGGCTGAGCCCAGAGTGATGGACAGTGGCCTTTACATCTGCACGGCCATGAATGCTGCAGGGAACGACTCACTCAGCTACAGCCTGGAGGTCCAAGGTGCGTGTGTCCAAGGGGGACTTGGAGGCTCTCCTTGCGGAGGACAAGCCACCACCACCAAGGTCAGCTCAGTAGCATCCCCATCTGGTCTAAAATGGCTGGGTTGCTCTGATGATGGGTGGCCATGTGGGCTTGTGCTTGGCACTGCAGAGGACCCTGTCATCACACCGAGCACTGGGACATTCTGTCACTTTTCCTTGTGTTGTGACTGGTTCATAGGACACTATTAGGACCGGAAAATGTTCCAGGTCTGCCCAAAATGAACCTGTGGACATTTTTCTCATTTCTGTGTTGTCTCTTTCACTGTTGAGCAATAAGAGGGCTTTCTGTACTCTTCCACCTTTGAGAGAGTGTGCTGGCCCTGGTGTCACCTGGAGGTGTCTAAGATTGGGGGCATGACTCTACTTCTCTTCTCAAAGCAGTGTTCCCCTCCTTTCTTTCTATTTCAGTCCCACCACAAATCCACCCTATGCCCAAGGTCCTGCGGGTTCTGGTGGGTCTTCATCTGGACCTGCCATGCATGGCTCATGGAGACCCTGTCCCCCGCATCAGCTGGTCCAAGGACGGCCACCCCTTGAATGTGGGCCAGGGGGGCTTCCTGGAGGGGCCTGATGGGACAATCAGCATCAAGAATGTGCAGGTCTCCAACTCGGGACAATACCGTTGTGTCGCCAGCAGCAGTGTGGGGCAAGATGCAGCAGAAGTGGCCGTGGAAGTGTTGGGTGAGTGTTGGGCATCATGCTGTCCCGGGGAGGCCACTCTTGAGACTGGGATCCTGGCACACAGCCCCACTAGGTGAGGAGGGGTCAGGGGGTGAGGAGAGCTGAGTACAGGCTAGTGAGACCCCCCTGATCTCTCACCAAGGTGGCTTCTCCTTACAGAGGTCCCCTACCTGGAGAATGGCGCAGAGGTCCTGCTGGAGAGGGTTATCCATGAGAATGTCACCATGCTGTGTCCTGCTAAGGGTAAGAGCTGCAGTGTTGGGAAGGGGCCACCTCATTCCATCCTTAACTCTGTGTGGAAGTTTCTCCGTGTGGTATTTTCCCTCATGGGAAGTACCCCAGGCTGGCTGCTGTCCTTCTTCCCCTGCCCTTCCTCTGGGATGGTGTTAATGGGAAGCCAATGCTCCCTCCTGGATTGTTCCCATGCTCATACGCTCCTTGTATCCCTAGCTGGATTTTCCCTTTTTCTTCAACACAGAAGTGCCACAGAGAGTCCCCTGTGGGTGGGGTTGTGGTGCCTTATGCAGTGGTGGCTCCATTCCCTGCAGTGCTTGGGCTGCGGGCGCTGCTGGCTGCAGCGCTGGGCAAGGAGCACCATCGTGTGGCTGTGCCGCGCTGTACAGGAGACACTGGCTGTACAGGGGACACGGGAGGTGTGGATGAGGCCCGTGGGCAGCTGGTGCAGATATAAGGAGAGAGCACCTATGTGGGAAGGGTTGGGCTGGGTCTTTGCAGGGGGAGAAGGGGGATGCTCTTGACCATGGGGTTTCCAAGGAGCAGGTGAGAAATGAGCAAACTACAGCTGAGCAAGGCAGCATGCGGATGATACCTGAGGCTTTGAGTGTCCCTAGGGCTGACGTGGGTTTTTGCAGGCATCGCCTCTCCCAGCACGTTGCGGAGCTGTTCAGCACGGACAGCAGACAAGATGCCCATAGCTGTTCCAAGCTGGGGTGCTCATGTGGGTCCCCTCTGCCTTGCATCCATGCAGGGACCCCCACACCATCCATCGTCTGGTTGAAGGATGCAGTGGAGGTGCTGAGCATCGTGCCGGGAGCTGAGGTGCTGGAAGGGGGCTCGCTTTTGATACGAGATGTGCAGCCCACGGACAGCGGGGATTACACCTGCCTGGCCACCAACGAAGTGGGCTCCGTGAGCCGCACTATACAACTGCTGGTGTACGGTACGTGGGTCCGGGTGGAGGAGAGTGTTCCCGTGCGAGCCTCCCACATGAGGCCACGTGTCCTGTGTAGAGTCTGCTCCATGCCCTCAATAGGGCGAGCTCTATCCTTGCTGCACGGATGGTGAGAACTTCTGGTGGGGCTGGGCAGTGGGGCCAAGTGGCTGTTTTCTGTACTATGTGAGGGGAGTTGGGCACAGAGCAGTGAGGAAGCCAACTCCTACCTCAAATTCCCACTTTCACTTTCCCCAGCCCCGCCAGAGATGGTTGGAAGTGGTCACCAGGAGAATGTTTCTGCCGTGGCTGGGGGGCCC